AGCGAGGGTGCTTTGTGCATTGTCGCGGGATGAGCGAGAATAAAGGAGGCCCGATCCCACGGGAGTTCGGCTTCACGGTTTTCAAGGTAGTCCTGGCTTGTCTCCGTGGTACCTGCTGGTAGTAGTATAGTACTGTATAAAGGTGGTTGACAGTGGTGGTGCAGTAGGAAAGTCGGAATCTCGTAGGGCGCAAGGAACCGTAAAGCGGTACTAATTTCTTGCTTGCTCCTCCAGAAGTAAAGAACGACAAGACCGTAGGGCCAGGAGAGGTACCTAGGTAGGTCTAACATAGTTTTTCGTTAAAAAAAGAGACTGTTTGTATAGCCGAGAAATGAAATTTCCCCGAAGGGAATGTCACCGCCGCTTAAGATAAAGAATAAAGCCAAAGTCCTTGCCGTAAGGACCACGGTATATATAAATATATGTACAACTGCCGCGAGTATTAGAGGATAGCTGCACCTGGTCGCAAACAGAAAGACGTAGAGTAGAGGCCGCATTTCAGAAGGTATAGGAGATACCCATCCGTAGAAACGTCCTAATAAAATCGGGCGAATTAATCTAATCTGGCCGATCCCAGTGCCGCCAAGCGGAGAAGGCACAAAGGCTAGGGGCAAAGCAAGCCAAGGTAATTCAATATGATTCAACAAACAATTTAATGGGGATTACGCGGAGTGTAACCGAGCAGAAGTAATTGGCCCAGCCTCTGCCTTCCCGTCCTTTGCTACCTCGTCCTCGTATACTTGGTCCTTTTGGTATCCTCAGTCCTGTCCCACAGTGACACTGCCAATCCCATTTACATCCAGTATCCTTTACAGTGTGTAAACGTACCGATGTGGGTCCGCACGACGTATTGCATTTAGCTACACGGTACGTATGGATCCTTGTGAACAGAACCTTGGAAGCAATAAGGATCGATATTATCTTGAAGTATTACCTTGATCGGTATTAGTTCGAAGGACCTTGGAAGGACCCTCAACAATTCTCAATTGATTAGGAACAAGAATTTCTGAAGGATATGGACGTAACAGGGATGCTGTATAAGGTAGGTCGAGGATATGGGATCTAATCGGCAGGACCCTTTAACGGAATGGCAGGAACTTTGCCATGAGCATATTTTTTATTGCTGTAGCAATCTGACCGTGCGAGATTCGTCCCTTGCAGCCTATAATGGGGGCATGTAGGTGGGTATAGGTATGAGCTTGCGTGAGTACAGCAATCGTATAGGAGTCCTTTCAATTTTCTTGGCACGTAGCGGAAGAGCATTTTGCAAAAGGTTACTTTTATGGCTGGAGTATTCCGGTTGGGTTCAGGTTCGTATTGGGTATGATACAGAAATCCTCTAAATCATTTGGTTTATTAGCCGCTTTAGCTGGGCTGATTAGGAGGATAGCGGTACGATGCCTGTAAATTCTAATCTAACGGCGTGGCCCTTGTACTTTAGGCACGCCCTTTGCGTTTTTAATTAGATCCAGCGAACGGGGCTATAAATAAACCCGGCAAAAGGTTGTAGCGTTAAGAGTGAACTCGACGCTTGGCCGGGACCGGCGTGGCTGATTACTTTTTCGCGTTTTTTAATTCACGTAAATTACTCCCCCCCGGCGCCGCGTTGGAATTCTCTAGACGGGAAAGGAATTACCGGACGGTGAATGTCGCTTAGATAAGCGCCTCAGAATTAACCCGATCTTCTCGCCAAAGATTTCGATCCAAATAATACCACTTGCTTCGGATCTTCTGTATTCGTATTTGCGAGTTTTCGAATTTCCTTACCCGCCTGATATCGATCGTCTAAATTCAAGTTCAGAGGTTGAACGACCTCTGGGAAGTTGAGAGTGCAACTTTGTTCGTTGAATAATGGCAAAGTATTCCCACCGGAAACGTGCAGGAACGTAAAAGTCTCATCGGCTACTCCGATGACGTAATTTCTAAGGCTGGTTTCTGTTTTTTCATACGCAATTAGTGACCGGGAAGCAGGAACGAAGAAACGAAACAAAGACAAATACAAGGAAGAGCCAGGAAGATGAAGATACAGGGTATATAATTCAAGGGACGAATTTCGCAGGGTAATTCCGTGGGGCGAGCGTGAGTCTCCTACCACGGGAATACATCAGTCGACGTCGGCACCCTGGTTTTTAGGTTAGGCACTATATGTATTACGTAGGACAACCCCCGTTGGTACCGTTGATGGCAATGGGGTGTCGGACTGGTTCTTGGCTATTTATTTCTTTTTTAACAGAGACAATCTTCAGCAACTCGAGTTAATCAAGAAAAATAAGCACTGCTTCTCTGAATTCAGCTACTGCGACCCCGGTGAAATGTGGACTACGCCAAAGTGCGGAAGGAGGGTGGCTCGAGTCATATTAAGAAGAGATAATATTCCGTATAATAAGTCAGTACACTTGGTAGGCGGGTATTCAGCAAAACCGCCACGACGAGCGCCGAGCATGAAAAGGAAGAGCAGAGGATAGATTCTATAAAGGAGAAACAGAGCTGATCATCTCTTTTCTCTCGCTCTCTCTTTCTCCCTTCTTCTCCACGTAGATGGTCGGAGAAGCGGAACTCGTTGTTATCTTTTCTGTATTGGTATTTACACTCGCCATGGGAATACGCGTTCACCGCAAGCCATGTATAAAATAACCATTCTGCCACTTGGGAAAACAAAAAGAGAAAGAATATATAGAACAAGAAATAAAAGAAACCTCGAATGCACTCATTGGCCGAACTCATATTTACAATAGTAAGTAGTAGCTAGTAAGCGCCAACTGTCCGTCTGCTTTTGTATTACTTTTACAAACGGAACTTACTCTACTGTCATTTTATTCGCCGACTTTTTCTCCGTACGGATTAGCACGCATACGTGGACTTCAACTGTTTGTACAGATACTGTTCGGATAGTTACGTACATACTGGAGTAGCAACCCGTCAACGATAGGCGAGCTACCCCAGTATTATTTTTTTTCCTTACGTTTTTTCTATTTTGCAACGCGACGAAAATATGCGTCTGGGAACCCTTTACTCTTCTCAGGAAGAAAGTCAAGTGGTGTTGCTCGGGTTGGCGTCGAAGGAAGGAAAATATGAAAATTCTCACGTAGAGCCTTTCTGAGACTTTTTTTGTATTCCGAGGTTATACCGTCCCACTTGGGAATCCAGAGAGAACAGCATCCCTCGAATAGGACCGTTTATTTGTTGTTTATAATTTTTTAATTTTTGTATAATCTCCATAGCCCTAATGAGATTATGCACAGATCTGACGTTCAAAAATGACCTAATTAATTATTTACTTATAAGCAAATTTCTTTTAAGTGCCAAACACGTCAATAAAGGGATAAACTAGCTTAAGATGTTCCATATAAATATCTTAGATAGAAATGACTGTTCTACGGAGCATGAGATATATGCCATGTATATAAGAAGATATAAGATATTAAAAATAAGTAATATGAAGCTTACAGGAAAATTGAAGCCGCGAGTTCAGTTCCGTGTTTGTGGATTCAGAGCACTCGAACGTGACGGGTGCGATATTGTCGAGTCTCAACGTTACAACAAAGGCGGCTTAAGGCGGTCTTGGAGACCGAATCTAGGTCTCTGCTACATAAACAGTTGTGACAGATGCCGGGTTATGTAAACAGGGATCGACCGATTCCGGTATTATTCAACATAAGGGGAAATACTTATCCGACCGTTTAACGAGGACAATGTGGGGATTTGCAAAAAACCTGCAGAGAGATTGAAGGAAAGCATAAGAATGAGAATGATATATATATATATATATATATACATGAGAGAATATCAAAGAATGTAAAGGCTGTGCGTGCTGAGAGATTGACAGCAGGTCAGTGAAGGAAAGCATAAGAATGAGAATG